CTGTAGTTTTAGATTTTGAAACTGTAATCCAATGTCTCTAAAGTTTCCGACAACATCCTAGATTGCCGTCCCACTCCTCTGGTGCTCTTGGTTCAACCCAGAAGCAACCCCGTTCCTTTCTCCTTAAAGCTCCCTTTTAAACTCTCAGAACTCTCTCTCTGTTGCTCTCTGTGTATCTCTCTGTTTACAGTTGTGACTATGAGGACTAGGGTTTTGTTTCTAACCCTAAACCAACGTAGAAGATGCATATATATAGACTTTTAAATCCTAAACCCTAATCTTTATACACCTCGGCCCATTGAACAATCTAGGTTTAAAACAGTGCTGGCTACATGAACTTACGTAAATTTATACGTACAAGAAATATAATAACAATGACTTAAATAAAGAAATAGAAAAAACAACCATTAACAACCAATTAATAATTAACAATTAATCAAATAATTAAAAACAAATAAATATTTAACAATTAACAAATAAGTTACAATTAAACAAAATACATGCAATTTAATCAACACAATAATAAAAACAATAACCAACACAATAATAAAACAATTAATCCAATAAAAAGACAATTAAATCAAAAATAAAATACCAAAAATATCCTTTTAAAATTAGGGATATTACAATGTATAACTTGTGTTCGTGTGTGTGATTTTTCTTTGTGATTGCTTGTGATTATTTCTCGAACAACGTTGTTATTTGCATTTCCGCCACAACAACTGGTATCAAAACCGGTTGATTATGCAGAGTAACTCTAACAAAATGTTCACGTGAGTGACACATTCTTTCATTGCTTAAATGACTATGGTCCTTTTCATTCTATGCTAAAATATTTAGTAATTATTTACTCATCTAGTTTGAATTTATTATATTTTGCTTTTTGTTTCATTTTTTATTTAATTATTTTTTGTAATAAAAAAATATCATTTATTATTTATATACATTTTTTAATAATTTTATATTACTTTTTTATTTCAATTAAACGGTGAGTTAGTAAATTTTAAACTAAATTGTTGTTATTTATAATTTAATTCCTAAACCTGCATAGTTTGATTTTTAGAAGTAATGTTTATTTATTTTATTTTTTCTCAAAAGTCATAACTATTCATGGGCGTGCATTTTTTATTTAAAGTGAAACTCTAATTCTATAATGTGCAAGTAAGTGAATTATATATGTAAATTATACGTGACACTAATTTTGTAAATGTTCGATTATTTCTTATGTTAGTGAGGATCGAGTAACAAAATATGACAAATTGAAAAGAAGAAATTGTGCTCATAGTGTAACATTGCACCACATTCAATGGTCATGCTTGTTTCCGTGCTCTATCTATTTTACTCCATCTCTCTTTGAAAATAAATTGTCCTACTCTCTTCCACTTTCTTCATAACACTACAATAATCTCTCATTATTACCGTCATTAGGTTAAATATTGAACACAATTTAAATATATTTATTACTGCAAAGAGAAGCATGGATGGTTATAATGTTTGATTTATATTTTTTTCATTAAATATGCTGCACGAAGCATCTAAAGCACAATCATTTCTCATCACGTGCATCGCACGTTCAATTTTCTAGTATGTCCCTGTATGTGTGTGTTTATATATATATATATATATATATATATATTTGTTGATAAATAAATTAAATAATTGATATACATATCGCCTAAAAAAAACTGCCCAGAGCCCATAACGTGTGGATATTTAGAATTATAAAGGTCCAAAATCCAAATTGCCTACTATTTTTAGCAATATTAAAATAGTAATATTTTTTTTTTGTATATTTTTTTTTTAGAAATAATTATTTTTTATATATTTTTAAAAACTTTCAGTGTTCAGCATTGCCTACTATTTTTAGCAATATTCAAATTGCATAATCAAACGTGCTTAATTGAATAAACACTTAATCAATTCAGAGATAAGGTGCTTTTTGATAAAACTTAAAATTATAGATTGAAATTTTTAAGAGCTGAATTTTAAGTAGTTTTTGAGTGGCAATAAAAAAATAAATATTTTAAAAGTCTTTTTGAATTTTCAACGTTAAGGGCCCGTTTGACATGTGTTATGATATTATTTTTCTAATATTGATATTTAAATTTGGGCCCATATTATGTTTGAGACGGTTGATATTGGTTTGAAATAAGTCATAACATATCAAATTTTTTTTGCTAAAATCCATATCACTAAATTGGTGATATTGTATGTTTTGATATTGTTGCTGATGAACTAAAGCGATTCTTCGAATTTCTCAAAACAAAATTTTGTTACCAAATATGGTTCTGAATTCTACCCAAAACACTTCTACAACAAAACGGTTCTTTTGATATTGACCAAAAAAAAACATAACGTCTAAAATACATCGCATGCCAAACGGGCCCTAAGTATTCAGTAACAAGTGATATTCACGTCACTTAAAATTTTATCCCATTTTAACTTATTAGTGCTTACACTTTTTAGTTATATCCAATCTGTGTTATCAAAGGCGATTAATGGAATAAATGCTAAATCTGTTCAGAATTAAGGTACTGAATTTACTTTTAAAACAACACCTTAGTAACCGTCCAATTTATATATATATATATATATATATATATATATATATATATATATATAATGTAGTAATTAGAAATTAAAGATGAATTCTATGTCAACTCCTTTGTCTATTCTCCATTAGACAATGCTAGCGTTGAATCATAAATACAACTATCATACATCACATGATACCCTAACCATATTAAAAAGACCAGTGATACTCACACCCGAACACTTAGTCTGACGCTGAATTTTAAATGTGACTATTATTAGGTGCAATGAGCTTAAGGGCAGACTTTGGTAACCAAATTGCTTGGTTAGTCTTTGTTCTCATGTTTCCTCGAGAAAGAGAAAACTAATACAGTTGGAGTCCTCGAGAAAGAGATAACTAGTACAGTTGGAGTCTGCAAAGTTACCGAGGCTGAACTCTAACGTGAGACGCTTTGTAAGCATGGTGGCCTGATGGAGCCCCTCGATAATTTTGGAAATACTACGAGCACGTCTCAAAAACATAATTTTTTCATACGGTCAAAAGTCAAGCATACAATTATACTTTTTCATATGGGAAAGAAAAACATAATTATATTAACATGTAGAGGAATATCAACTTTACACCAGAACCAGTCTTCAAATGTTTCTGTTGCAGCAGATGTAAAGCAAGAGACACAAACTAAATTCGATCCGGGGACTTGGCCGGTGGACGGATAACAAAGGCAAAACTCCCATTCTTCCGTGATACGTTTGGAAAATAGTGAATTATTTAACCGAATAATTTTTAATTGACTATTTATACTAAAATACAACTAAGTGAAGGATTCAACTTTCTTGTTTGTTATATAATTGACCAATTAAAAGAATAAGTTTAACAATTCTCTGCAACACAAGATTAAAAATAAAATTAAAAAAAAATGAAAAGAAGGGAAAGGACCAGAACATCACGTTGGCGGGAGACTATATCATCACACAAAAGAAAAAAATGTCAAGAATGTTTTATGACTTCGTTTTGTGGATGATGAGATATCTAATGGCAGTGATTAAAAAATATCCCCTTCTTTAATTTAGAATTGTACCACTTCTAGAATTGAAAAGCTCCAAGCATTTTTAAATGTGTTGGGAGTTGAATGATTTAGAATTTAATAGAATTTAAACAGAATGTATTAAATATAAATTAAACAAAGATGTAAAGAACGAAATGAGAATAAGTTGATAAACAATTCAAAGCCAACAGGAAAAAATAATAATAATAATTTGAAATAACCATTTTTCATATTTAGGATCAATTATATAAAATGATGGGAGGTAGATGATAATTAACCAGTATGATTGGAACTTGTAACATGTTATAGATATGGATAACGAAGAGTTTAGGAATTGTTTACACCTAGTAGGAATCGATAATGAGACTTGATACTTTACGAGGTGGTACTGGGACCATTATAAAAAATATATAAAAATAGATATTTTATATAAAAGTTGTTAGACAATTTTTTTTTTTTTTTTAATCATTGGTAAGAAATACACACACAACTCTATAACCCTTTGGAGATTCTAACTTGTACCATCCACTTTGAAAAATAGAAAAAATACCATTATGTCACAAGGTCCTTAATAAATATATATATATATATATATATATATATATATATATATATATATATATTGAGATAAATGATAAGAGATTAAGAGTAAATAGAAGATATACTATTAATAATTAACATGATAACGAGAAACTTAGAATGGTCATCTCAAGAATGATGCACTTCACTAAAATTGAATAAAACATACACAAAACTAATATGATTGGCCTAAGACCAATGGTCCTCGACTATGTAATAATTTCTCGTTTGTAGGAATACAAAACTATCCAAACAAATTTGTTCCGAAATGGTATCCGCTAAAAGGTTGCAGCACCAATGCCAATCAAAACATGCCGAACTAGAGAGGCCAACAAGTTCATATATACAGGAATCTCAGCAGATCTTGCAAACAGAAGAACTCGCAAACAAAAAGCTATCAGCCATACGTTGGAATATTTTGGCTCAGTTGGTTTCTAGTTAACCAAAGACGATAACTTAAATGACACTTTCTCATCCGCAGAGGGAAAGGTCTGAGAGTTTAAGTTTTCTTAGGGGCAAATTAAGTCTCAAAATTTCTGGCCGAAAACAATGTTCTAACTAAACACAAAAGTATGTTTTGATTAGAGAATAAGATAAGTAAATATATTCTCGAACAGCAGTATCTCCTCTATCTCTCAAAATTTATATTCAAAAATTGAAGGTTCAAGACCCCATAGAACAATGAATGTAACAAAATGGATGTGGGATGTTAGTTAAAACGAAAAAAGTTCTCAAAACTTTCCAATAAAGATGCTTTTTTGCACCTACAACTACAAAAAGAGAGAGATTTGCTTCAAGCAAAGCCAAGATATAAAAAGCTCTCAGCGCGCATTCTTGTGACAATTAATAAAGGAAAAATATATATATTAAAACCATAATCTTATACCTTGCTTTGAGCATTTCAGATGCAGCTAGAATTAGGGCATAGAGATCCTGCAAAAAGCACTTCAAAATGAAATTATCCACATTTCATCACAATGTTGATGCTTTGTAGAAGTCGAGTCATGTTTCTTCCAGAGTTCAAAAAAGATAATCTTCATCTTTAAGCGGTGTATTTTGTTCAATCCAACTTCCTGAGATACATACTTATTACGCACAGCCCACTTTATCTAATAGCATGCAAAGATCAAAAGAAAAGTAGCCTTTAGTTAAAGCGCAGAGTCCCCCCATCATGACGAATCTTGGTTTCATATAAATTTTGCAGCATCTACCTATACAAAGAGAAAACAGAGGACCCATCAAGCATCTGAAATGTTGATGTCATAACGCCGCGCCAACCGGTTGGCCGTACCATCAACTAGGACATTGTCAATCAGATCAAACTTCTTATAATTTGCTTTAAGGGTCTCTCCCTGCTGTTTTGCCAGCTTCTCTTCCTCTGCTAGTTGTTGCTACAAAGGAGAAAGAGAAGTACAGCATTACATGACAACCTCCCATAAAATAAAAAAGGAATAAGAAAATACTTGAGGAATCGGAGCTAAAAATGAAATGCAATAGAGATATTCAAGGAACACCAGAGTTAACCTTGAGCAGAAATGAAGCTTCAGCAGCATGTTTTCTAGTCATATACTTCAGTTTCTTTGCCACCTCAAAGTCAGGGTCCTTCGGGTCCAACCAACGGCAATGTATGTTTCTACCACGCTTTTTTGGGCGATCCTCAAACATCTGCACTTCAGCAGCACGTGCCCTCACAGGCCTTGGCATCCCAGACATCATGAATGGGAAATTGGCCATCTCCAATATAATTTCTCTGGCCTGCTTCGCATTTTCCATCTCTACCAGAGCACAACGCGGTATGTTCTGTGCTTCCATGTAGTTTGGAATGAACTGAACATTTGTGACATTTCCAAACTGATTAAGTGCAGTTTTAAGAACAGCTTCAGTGACTTGAAATGAGAGGTTGTCGATATAAACAGTCCGCTTCAGCTTCACTTCAAACGCAGCATAATCTTTTTCGGCTGAAGATTCCATAATAGAATTGATAAATTCAAACTTTCCCTGTACAACAAAAGGGAACAGAATTTTTCAGAATAACTATCTTCACGAGTCAATCAAAATTTCCAATCTATATGATCATTATGCATATGTACAAAGATGCTCTCCAATTAATGACATGCTGTTATAGATGACCAACATTCGGATAACAAACCATCAACCTTACTTCTAGAAAATTCATTTAATTTCATTTCTGACAATAAAATGAGATAATTAATTCAACAGATAAGAACAGGTCATCATAGAGCATTCTTTTATTCCCAATATAGTTATTGGATGCCTCCTTTTTCCTCTGTTGGTTCATTACTTACCATAAACAACAAAAAGTTGGACCAGACACGGAATATCAGCCTTTTTGCACAACAGCAATTGAACCCTAAAGATGACTCTGATCTGATGTCTTTTAAAGCTCGGATCATCTCATATATTTGGTAGTAATCTAAAAGCATTTCTTTTCTCTTTTCTTTTTCCCCCCACCTCTAAAAAAGTACTGACCTAACAGATGTTTCCAAGACATGTCACCACAACTTCAACTACGCTTGGTAATAATGACATTTTAAATTTGCTGGAGCAAATTATAACTGATTTAACCTGTTGGTGTTATATTATAATCGTGCTAATAAGTTATGCTGTCCCTTCCCCAATCATTTTCACATATTATGTTGGGTCGAACTATTTCCGCAGAACTTTTTTCTGCATCCACCCTCCTCCGCTCACTCTGTATATGTCAGCCAAATGAGTCAGATGCATTTCGTTATTTACCAAAAAGAATAGGAAAACAAAGAAAAGAGTAATGCATATTGTCTGAGAATAATAGATCAATTAGTGCTAGCCAGTATTGGTTCGTTTACATGGGGTGCTGGGAAGGGTTGACTTGAGACATACTTAACCTCTGGGACTGACATGTACAAAGTGACCGTTTCCAGACTCCAAATGCATTCTCACGATTAGCTTGAGTTTTTACCAAAGCACCAAAAATTAAACCCATTAATAGACTCGTAAACACCACATAAATCACAATATGGAATCCATATATGTGCATTCAATAAATGCCCAAATCTTTTTCTTTTTCTTTTTTTCCTAGTTGGTACTCACACACACGTCTCTTCTAAGACTTGAACCCCTGACCTCCCTTTGGGAGGTAAGAGGCTGATACCGCTAGGCGACTGGCCCATTGGTTGAATGCCCAAATCTGGTAGGCCGCAAAGCAAACCAAACAAAAATAATTAGTCAGATGATACATGGTCAAGAACATAGTGAATACAGATGTAGACATAAAGCTTCAATTCAAGAACATAACTCTGACTCATCAATTCCGTTAAATTTTGATATATTCTGGTAAGAAAAAAAAAATGTAGGAAAATGGCATAGATTTCGTTTGGCTTCAAATGGTGGCATGTTCCAGCAAAGTGTCAACTGTTTTCTCTGATACCATTACTCCAACCAAAAAGCCACCAATTCGTCTGGTATAAACTATAAAGAAAAGCAACATAAATCTTCAAATCATTTTGCAAATTTAAAAAATTTTAAGAATCATTTGTGTGTTTGTGATAAATATATTACCAATCAAGCATGGATCTCATAACTCTGATCTAACTTGACAGTCCGCCACTCATCAATACAAGGATAATACACTCATACCTATTGACCAACAAACCCACACTTCTCATTACTGAAAGATATTTGGAAAGCCTTCCAAACAAGAACTACTGTTCAGCTGGGCTAGATCATCATTGTGGGGTTATATCGATCTAAAGGGAACTTATTTCCTAAGTAATTATGAGGAACAAATAATATTCAGTATAATGGCTGAGAGTACGTTGGTCCACAAATAGACTACAGTATTGCACTGGGCAAACTATTTTATAAAACCAATATAAGTACAAACTGGAATTAGCAGATGTAAGTACCTCTTCTAGCAATTTACCTAATGTAGACTCTCGGCATGAAGTAAGAAAACCTTTGCATAAATCACAGAGGATATTGCATATTCATTTCATTGGAATCTAATACTCCAAAAACATGGTATGCTCAAAATTATAAGTCAGCAAAACTATCCACATGGTACCAAAAATTATACTTCCAATTTGTGTTGCTTGCGCATAGCCATTTATTCCATAGTGTGAATAAGATGACCACAAGTTCCATCGCCCCATAATATCTCATATATTATTTTGTGAAGCTTGACGATGTTCTTCTCACACATTATTGACACTGAAATACCAAAATTCTGCACCCATACGTTAAGTCCTTTTACATACTTTTAACAAACTCAAAAATACTTCCAAATAGTTATCCTCCTCTAAAGGATATCGCACTGTACCACTCTGCGTCACACTCGTATGCAATGTTTAACTCACTCCTTTGTCGGATAAAAAGCCTTTGCTTCCTTGACCTTCCACTCTATAATGCAATATACATCCTGCTTTGTTTTTGTTATTTACTTAAGGGACATTGACAAGGCTGCTAAATGTAGTCTTACATGGGACTTCTTGTTATCCAAAGATAGATTATGGGTGGCTTGGTTTAAAGAAAACTATTTGAGACATTCTTCCTTTTGGAATGTAATTCCTAAAGAGTCATCTTCATCAATTTGGAAAAGCATTGTGGCTGTTAGAGACATTATTAAAGAAAATTTTAGATATAGAATTGGTAATGGACAGCAGATTCAAGTGTTTTTGGATCCATGGTGTGAAGGAAAATGTTTAAGTGACCTGTTTAACCGTAGGTTGCTGAGCAGAAACAAACAGAGTTTATTAAGTGAATTTATTGTTGATGGCCAATGGAACGAAGAACTGTTGCTTAATACTTCACAAGAATTGAGACATGTTTTTTACAACCACAGGATCTTTGGGGGAGCTGATCAAATAAAATGGAAGTCCAATTTTTGCTTCAAAGCAGCTTGGGAGGTGTATAGAAGTCCAAGACAGAATGTTTGCCAGTATGGTTTATGCTGGAGTGGGGGGCGTCCAAGATGGTCTACACACTCAGTTTTGGTCTTGCAGGAGGGTATACTGACTCATAATTTTCTGCAAAATAAAGGTTTCTCTATTGTATCAAGATGCTATTTGTGTCTTAAGAGCGTGGAAACTCTGGATCATTTATTTTGCAGCTGTTGATTTACTTGGAAGGTTTGGAATGGTATCCCTGCTATAGTTGGATGGAATTTACAAAGGGTCCTGGATATGCAGAACTTGGCAATTGGTAATGGTGTTCAATCAAAGATTTACAGGAAAGAGTAACAAAATGGCTAGAATTTTGTTTACTGCGGTGTTATACTTTATTTGGAGAGAAAGAAATGAGAGAATGCATAATGATTTATGTAGAGATGCAATGGAATTAGCTAAGTGCATTATTTGGAAGGTTCTTGATGTCATGGTGGTAGGCCTTCGGGATATCTTGTAACCATTTTTTCTTAGCATTGTTTTCTATTCTGCCCTTTCCTTTTTAGGGTAGTTTCTGTTTTGTAAAGTGAGGGTATGCCTTCACTATATTTCCATGTACATTATTGTCTATAATTTATAAAAAAAAAATCCTTCATTCAGGAAAATATATATATATATATATATATATATATATTTACTTGATAAATGCCATAATTACAAGAGATATAGTTCTTAAGACTATAGTACTCTAAAACTGTTGTGTGTACATGTGTGTGTGTGTATATACATATACACTTGCAAAATATATATATATATATATATATATATATATATATAGGCACTTGTTAGTTCTAATTAATTTTGTTACGACGCTAATTATTTTAGAATTCTTTAAAATAATTCTTTCATTGATGAAAATCTAAACTATCTCTCTTTATAAATCTATAAAACAAAATGTATAGATTTCACGGATTGCATTCCTTTAAAAATAAAAATATATAATACACCTTTTTGTATTTTAAATTATTAATAATATTATGTATCCAACACAGAATCGGAGCCTTAGTGTTACTTCCTCACCTTGCAAAGTAAAAGGTCGAAATTTCAAGTCCACATAGAAACAAAGTGGGCGTGTGAGTTTCAAATAGTAAAAAATAATAATATTATGCATCTCCTAACATGAAAAATATTATGATTACACGATTTGGAGTCATTTCCACTCTAGCCAGACTTAGGGTGAAAATAATTGACACGGCATGCAACACAAAACAAGTTAGATTCCGGTTTGTATTTGGGTTAATTTTTTTTTGAACCGTAATTGTGTCAGCCTTCAAGTCTTCAACCCGGTTTAACCTGTTTAGCTACACGTATTGGGTCAACACGAATACAACTTTAACTCATTTACTAAACCATTTAAACATGTTTAAAATGTAACATGTCAAGAATATTTGAACAGATGTGTCAATTTGCAGAAACAGAAAACCCTTCTTAAACATATCTTTTAATCATTCACACTACTTACTATGAGTCTCACGCAACCTGAGAAGCACACGCACAGACACGGACATGGGTACAACTCGTCACTTTTTTCCTTGTTCAAAAGCTGTGACCCGAGATTTCTAGCAAATGCAATTTCACCCTCTAGTATGATCCCTTGAAAGTAAACTGATGATAACTGCATTTGAATTGTACATTTCCACCCCATCTTCCAACTTTTTAAATTACTTCCAAAGAAGGGTGTTGTCAATTGTCATCAGGTTCAACCCCACTGCTAGAACCTTCCACATTTCTCATTTTCCTAATCACAAACAAATAAATCTAAATACTAAATACCAATAAATAAAAAAACACATTCAACAAAAGATAGTTCAGGCAAAAAGAAAACAAATAGCAGATAGACTAATTCATTTCAAGTGTCCAACAGCAAACACAGAGCCTCTAACAATCGTATCAGACTATTTCAACAATCAGATGCTATGACAATCAACATTGAAAAATTTCCAATCCATTGGTACGTTTTCACTTATACTTGATCCAACAATAATGAAATGAGAAAAAGAAGGGATGAGTGATCTACATGACATGAGATTGATGTCCTCAACTACTATTTGAAATAATTTCACAACACATGCATTAAGGTTGAAAATAATGAATTTGCTACACTGTAATACGGAAGAGAGGATTGAAAACTTGAAGGAGAAGAGGGAAGAAGTGAGAGGAGAGAACGAACCTGAAGGAGCCGCCGGTATGGAGCAAACCGCAGAAGTAGACTTCGAAACCAATGCGCCCCAAAAAACCTGTGGGTGATGGACAATTTGTGAGGCCAGTGAATCAAGAGAGACTTTTATGAATTGGCTTAGATGGATTGATCATAATAAGAGACGTTTTTCGAACCGCCTTTTCCCCAAATAATAAACCCTAAAATCATGATCCATGTAAAATATTTCCAAGTCACATTTTATGTGATTATCAGTAAAGGGCAAATTGGGGAAAACGCTTATAACATCTACATTTTGGGCAAATTAAGACCCCTGTTGTTCACGTTGTGAGTGTATAATTCGGTTGAAAAAAATGAATATAGAGGCCTTGAGGTCGAAAGACTTATCATTATAGAGAGAGAGAGAAATTATAGGTCTTCCGATCTCAATTGCCCACTCCTCCTTCGAATATAACGTGGTTAAGAATTTGTCAAAGAGAAAGAGATGCTTTATGGATATTTTTTTAAGTGTTCCAACGTGATCCAATCACGTTGTATTAGGAGGAAGAATCGGCAATTGAGATCGAAAGACTTATCATTTCTCATATATATATATATATATACTGAATCGATACGAAAAAACTACAATAATTAAAAAAGACTTTAGTCCTGCATGTTCCAAGTTCATAAACCTCCATTGTTTTCGGCAACGAACTCCAGGAGACATAACAACATGCTTCTGTGATACCCCTCAGATCCGAGACACGGGTTGCTCAGGCCCAGGCTCAAACCTGAGAGATATCAAATAATTAATATTTTAAAACGAACACGGAATACAAAGTGAATTTAAGAAATAATATAATGAGCTGAAAGAAACTAAAATATAAAATCCTTTAATATTAAATATACTTAAATCCCAATAATCCAAAACAACCTCTATAAGTTAAACAACTCGGGAATCCATCTTTAGTGGATCCCTAAAAAACTCCCAAACTGAATGAAAGTAAAACTAAAGATAAAATCCAAATCCAATATCTGGAAAGAAGTCCTACATCGTCGGTAAAATGAAAGATCGTCTCTGCTCAACACGAACAAGCTTAAGCATGGAACTAACGTACACCTGAAAAATAGGAGTGGGTCAGGCCCACGAATAAATTCTATCCTACTACAATCCAAGCAGAGACTCGATACGCATATACACTCTAACCAACTCAACAATAACTATATAATCCGTGTCTATATATATATATATATATATATATATATATATATATATATATCCACACTATGGACTCTCACTGGACTATAATACGGGTCTCAACTTAAGTAGAAGGTAACATGCAAAACGCACCCGAATAGGCAAGACTACCTAAGCCTAACAGGGTACACCTCAACCAGCATAGCCAGTTATGCGTCCTATTGCATATACGCTCCCTAACCGTTGACTGTGAGACTCAAGCTCAAGTCACGATACCATAATAATATATTTAAAATCCGTTCACACTCATCCATAAGAAATCCAGTAAGTCGTTTAGCTTATTCAATCGCACAGATTTAAGTCGTTCACCTTATTCAACCGCACAGAGTTATACATAAGGAGGATTCTATTTTTATAATCCATTCCCTTAATCCAAAGTAGGTAGGATTTAGCAATTTAAGCTAATCCAAACCTAGTATGTCACCATCCCATACCGGTACATATAATCCAATCCCTCCAACAGTTGATACAATACATAATCAATGCACATAGCAACTGAACCATAATAAGCATAAATAGAAATATAGACTAACATGCTTATTCCAGTAACTGATAGATCAAAATAATAAGACATATCAATTAATTCTATGATGAACATAAATTAAATAGATAAGCATCATGTTCATCCCATATCTCCGTTACAAATTAACTTATTTTGAGCATGCAGATAATTTATTCTTCTCGTCCATAAAACCATGACAAGTCTAATAAAACTATATTAATTATCATGCTTGTCCACTATTAATAATATCATATTAATAAAATTTCCACTCACAGAGAATAAATAAATTAAGGTTCAGTAATTTAGAATTCCTCTACACTGAATTCAAATACTTTCCGTCGAGACTTACCAGTATTCAAGCTATAAACTCCTACTAGTTTATTAAGCATTAATCCACTCTCTCAAGTGTTAACTAGACTTAGAACATCTCAAAACACCCAAGGATAGCTTCCTACAGAATCTGAATATCCCAAAATCCGAGTTCCGTAGCCCAAACTATCGCCAAAAAAACCAAAACTGGAAAAACCTTGAAAAACCATCAAGAAGCCGGCTCCAAACATGATGGAGCCGGCTCCAACCTATTTGGAGCAGCCTCTAAATCCTTTTAGAGCCGGCTCCATGATTCCATGGGACCGCCTCTTCCCCCTCTCCTCCTCTCTGCTTGTTTTCGTCCCCTGTGTTTATTCCGGCGACGTCCAGTTTGTCTGTCCTCCTAACCTAAGGTTCAAAAAGGTCTAAACTAAACTCTAAGGTGTTCTAAAGACCATTAACCTCTTTGTCTAGTGACCAACAATAATTTAAACCCGAATTATACATTAGGGATTCAACACAGACAATTTACAGTTTGTAAACGCTTATTGTTTAAACAATTCAAACACTGTAATCCAGATTACTTCTAGTGGTCTCCAATAGGTTCCAGACTAATTTAAACTCTTAAAACACCAATTGACATGAATTTAAAACAGAAGTTATACAAAGAAGAAATTTAAACCAACAATACACATCTTGCAACCACGTCCAGTTTAAAAATTCAGACATGCATACCAGTTGAATTTTAAACTTTATATGATCCTAGAATTGTATTAGAGATGCAAAGAACATGAGTCTAAGGAATAGAGATAGGATTAGAACTTGCCTTTGAGACTTTTGTTCAAAATCTCTACGTCGTTTTCTAAGGTTCCGGCGATTCCGACTACAAAATTCCTCCTCTGTTCTCTCTCTGCCTCCACAGACATGAATAGGTTTTATTTTCTTTTTATTTTAAACCCTCAATAGACGTATCCTATATATTTATAGAGTTATACCAAACCCTAAATTAATTCAAGCCCCAAATTGAATCCTACTCGGCCCATAAAAACTTAATTAAAACCTACGTCGGCTACAACTGTGATTTCTTAAAGAACCCTAATCTAAATCATTAAATGAAAACAAATAAATAAATTAAAACAGTGATATAAAGAAATAAAAATTATGTCATATAAACAACTTACCAATTTAAAATTAAGTCGAATAACTCAACTAATTCACATAAGTCAAATAATTCAAATAATTCAAGTAATTCAAATAATTCAAATAAACAATTAAATAATTAAAAATTCAATTAAAACAATAAATTAAATACCAGGACTATCCTTTTGAAATTAGGGGTATTACACTTCTCCGGTGAACAAACTAAGAAAACCTTGTTATTTCAGCACGCTCCAATCCGGCGAGCCCAAGTTCGATGACCTGGTGCATTGCTATGAGAGGATCATCGACCTTGGGTCCCGATGTGAAGGAGTTAGGTCATTGTTAGCAACCCAACATAGTTGGAGAGGGGATGGTGATTAGGTTGTCGTCTATGGTGCTCACTAGGTTGCGCTCCCGCGACTTGGTTCATCGACATAAGAAGGGCAGCGACCTTTTGAGGAACAAGTGGCCAGGACACTACTTATATGCAGTGACTAGGCCGCTGTAAAGTCCGGCGACCTAGCTGGAATGAGAGGAAGCCAATATTGACTTGGTATGGTCGCTGCAAGTAGTAGTGATGGCAAGTTGGTCTGGTCAATGTCGGTGACGACTAGCTTCTTCCTCACATTTAATTAGTTTTTACTTATTTTGCATTCAATTATAGAGGGACACTTTCGTCTTTTCAGTAGTCAAACCCTTGTTTGCTCCAAAATTGAATGCTATAGATTTTTTTAAAACGTTATGCACTTTATATGTTATAGGTTTTAAAACCCCTTATACACTTTATATATAAAATAAAATAAAATGTTATATATATAAAATAAAATGTTATAGATTTTTTAAAACCCATAATACACTTTATATATGATAGGGAAAATATTTCCATTGGATAAGACTGAAAATATTTCATTATCAAGGATAATGAAATATGATGTGGTTCAATAGGGTAATGATAACCATGGCATAATTTGAGGAAGTCAGAGGAGTAAATCATATCCCCGACAAATCTGGCAACAAACGGATCTCCTCTTATCTCGCACAAGTGGATGATAAGGGAGACCTCAACCATCGACATCGGCAGAACCAATATGATTCCAATCGACAGCCATAAATAGGGCCCCAAGCCATTAAAGAAGGTACGTGAAAAAACCCCTAAACATGATATACATAATTATTCTGTGATACGATTACAAGTACTAGTTTGATCGTCGGAGGGTCCTTGGCTGGCACCCCACCGGTGCTATTTAAGGTGACGTCCCTTTGTTTTGCAAGTAAATGCCGTCGTTCCGAGTCGCGAGGATTTTCGCATCAAAAGCTGACGCCGTCTGTGGGAACGATTAGTTCTCTAAAGAAATAATAATCCTGACGCGACTTGGCTCAGACGGTAAGACGAAAGTTTCCGATCATGGAAACCATCCCAAAGTCATCAGTTAACAACGGGTTTCCATGTTCTTATATAAGGACGGGACTCTACATCCTGACTACCCGTCCATTATACTGGGGGTAGAACGGTGGGTTGCGTGATGCCATCCAGTATACAATGACAAGAATCAAAATTTGACACGTCGACCCAGGCAGTCCAATGTGCTGTTCTCCATCTAGCGATGTTTGGTCCCCTCACTACTGAGGTTTGGTCGTCTAAGACCAGACTCTATCTCATATTGGGCAGCAGCCACTTACCAAGGCCTGATCGTTAAAGACTAAGGCCTGGTCCTCCTGCACCTACATAAATGGGTAAGTCTCCACCCATTAAGAAAATCACTACCAACAAGGGGGTCTCTACCTACTAGTAAAGCCTCTACTACTGAGGATGTCTCTAGCAACGAAGTCTCATTACTCCGTCCGGTCGTGCAATCAAGGTGGCCTTTTACACCCAAGAATGTATTGAGACCTTCAGATCCAAGGAGGTCCAATGTCCCTCAAGATTCCATGTCCAATGAGGTCTGTATTCCCAATGAGGTTCCTAAATTAAGGGCGATCATTGGACCCAACGAGGTACTGGCCACCAGACCGTCATTTGTCAGCCATTGGGTACCA